CCAATGTACAGAGAAGTGACGGCATAGTCGTACAAAAGAGGATGCAGGTTTGACGATACCGGGCGCCAGTATGAAAAGATTACGTATGGCGCGCATAGCATAACCGACAGCGCAAGCATTGAGAAATGGTATAAAAGATTCCTGAAAAAAATTTTAAATTTACTGCTTGCCCCATCGAAGTATACAGTCCCAAAAGTGACGGAAGCTCATAGACCAGCGTTGCCACAAGTTACTGCAACGAATTACTCCAACTTGCAGTGGTGAATTGCTCCCAGAAACATCACTGAAATGGGATACCTAAACTGATTGCCTGGGCAGTCTTGACAATAAATATTCTATTTTGACCAGTTAACTGTATCTTGAATTTAGAGTTAAATGCTTGCCTCAAACTCACCCGTATGTCTGAAATCTTCTGTAAATGCGTGTATGATCATATAAAATGTAGATTTCGAGAAGACCTGCAAAGGAAACAAGCCGATAATGTGTATAAATCCACAGTGTTACGCAATCGACAACTTCGAACGAAATATGAGCCCTGAAACAGCTTTTGGTGCCTCGTTCGTCAAATGCATTTTTTTAGTGGTAAATAAATTCTGAATGCTCAACTTAAAATTTTTGAGTACCATTTCAGCTGAAACAAGTGTAGTGTAGACTGAATTGAGAAGTTCCCAAAATCCGAGTGACGTATTTCGCATTGCCATGTCTTACTGCCTACCCAGATATTCTTCACGCACTTAAAAAACTCACCGGACGATGTATCTTCTTTCGACTATAAATGGAAACCTATAGCTTTCTGATTAAGGGGACAAAACAGCCTGCATGCACCAGATCCCCAGTGATTTGCTGCTGTGGATTTATAGCAGTGGGTGTGAGAATACAATTAAAAATGTCTGATTTTTCACCCAGGTGTAGAGTATGAGTTCTATGCTTGCTTTCTTCTTATGCTACAAAATCCAAATACCTAGAAAGCTGGAATTGTCGGTGTCTAATTCCAAATGCAATAATACGCAGCTTTTCCAGTTTTAGGCTTGAAGCTTGGTAGATCAGGCTGCTGATCAGCCTTGAAAAATTTTCTGATGGCAGAATGAACCAACATCACTGGGGTCTTAATCAAAATCCCTTCGTATTCATTCCTTATGAAAGGCAAGGCTGCTGCAGGCTCCTTCTGCCGAGGGTTGCGTAGAAGCAAAGTGATGGTTTGATTCCTGACACAGGCCAGCACCAATTACCGTCGAAACGAATGAACGAACTGTAAAGAGTTTGGTCGTCCCACTAGCAAGTGAAACCTTTAAATTACTGCATGTAATTCCTACTGAATTTTGCCATCAGCGGGTATTTTAGTACTTGATGAAAACAGTCTTGTAGGAATCTCCAAATGTCTGTCCGACCGACTCTATGTTTCAAATTCGCCACCGTTTATGAAGATACAGCAAGAGTTCCTTCCCCTATTTTTGTGATCATTGTTATCTCAAAAATGATTTATGCATTTATGTATGTATGTATATTTGTATATATGCATGTATGTGTTATGTCTGCATGTATGTATGCATATATGTGCGTTTGCATTTGTGAGGCTGTCTTTCTGCAATATTCAGCTCCAGAGCTATGACGGCCAGGAAGCTAAGTTTTCTTAACAAGGAGGGGACTGTAAACATGCTGTTTATTCAGTAACTTTTAGATACGCAATATTATACTGTACAAAAAATAGTTTCTAGATATGCGAAACTGCAGTTATACAAGTTCTGGAGGAGAAATGAAGTAATAAAAATGGTTTACACGGGATGGTAAACGCTGGTGACAGTGTGCTGCACAACAAAATCGGCCAGCTTAATTATACTGCCGGCGAGGCATACCACAAAAATATTGACTGTATACCATTTGTACGAATCGTTACCAACCATGTAAAATGATACGAAAAGCATGTAACAGGAGACGAACAAACCGCAGAACGTCGCTGCGTAGTCCAGTGTCGATAGGTACATGTTACTTATCATAGGCCTGTAAATATGGGGCAATTAATTACAACTGTAGACTGGAAAGCCCTGAAACAGCAAATTTAGAGAAGACCATGGGTATTCTAATCTGGTAGTCCTGCTGCGGCGAAAGCTTGACATCCGCCTCTGTTCAGGTAATAAATTTTTCATGGAAGAAGTATCAAAGCGAGGAAGACCCTTCGAATACACATTCGCATTCTGAGCTTTGCACAAGGATCACAACTAGTCTTGCAGTTAATCTTTTTTTTTTTTGCTCACCTGTTCTGTACATACACACACATACACATAAATACATACATCATTCTATTTTGTAACGTAAGATCGTAAACTACTTAATGATTTGAAAATCTGCGCACGGCGATATTTCGTGTTTTAGACCTTGCTTGGTAAATTAGGATCCAAACACTTTCGGGAAGGAAGCTTTATCCATCACTCCATCTACAGATTTTCCCTCCTGACCCATCACCTGTTCACTCAGTCATCAAGTAGCCGAGGATGGGAGCTTACTTTTAAACAATCAGATAATATAACAACTACCTCGAACTTCGTGTCAACAGTTACGGGGTCATTTTGAAGAAAAGCACCTTTGGAAAGCTTGGAAAGAGCAACTTTAGAAAAAACTTTGTCTGACGAGCACTTCGCAAATAATTATCGCCTTTGAAAATAGAAAGAAAAATTATTATTAGTGAAAATGTAATTCGCAAAAAAGTGAATAACACAGCAACAAGAAATAACGGCAATACAATTCCCTGCTGTTGAAGATTCGGGATCTGCAGCTGATTGAAAATATACGTACACATTCAAGGAGATGCTTTTCACGATCACGATCAAATTCAGGGATGTAAAAAAGAAGCACTTTCAAAAATTTATATAAAACTCCAGCCACGGAATACTCGGGAAGTCTGACTCTCTATACATTAAAGTGAGGAAGCACTAAAAAGCAGCATCCACTGGGACTCAGATACAGTTATGCATTTTGCCAGTAATGGCCTGTGGTACAAGGGTGACTGCGACAAAAGATAAAGAATTGGTTACGATGGTTTCTCAGTCGATTTATTATATCGAAAATACCAAAGTGACAAATTCAGAACTCGATTCATCCTGAAGTTATAATGCCAGCTTGTAGCTGATGGCCTGAGGCTGCAA